GGCACCAAGGTTTCTCCTTTTCCAGTGTGCAATATCCAGAGTATATTACACCCACACTTTTCCACTGCTGTAACCTTGTTGGAAGTGTCAGCAGCTCAACACAGAGATGGCCTATTAGCATATTTCACAGCCTGTTCTGCTCCTGAAGTGATGTCTGGAGAGATCCCTCCATTGCCAGAAGGTCAGTGTCAGGACACATTGATTTCCGCAGCGTTGGTGCTGTCAGTGCTGGTGCTAAATCTGTGTTCCTGAACAGAAGGGCTTGGGAAAACAGGTTTGGTTTAGTGACAGGGAGACCTTCCTCTGCTGAGACTGGGCCTGAGCAGGACTTATTTAGGAGCAGATGTCCAAAAGTGGATGAAAGTGCCAGAACACAGGGACAGGCAATAAATAAAGTGCAGAGAAGACAAGTTTTGCAGTCCTTGCCTTGACCAGTATAGCATGGTCATATTCTCCCTCTCATTTCCATCTCTTCCTGATTTCTGCATCTCTTGGACACAGCTCAGCATGGTACAGGATGGCTCTATCCACATCCCGTCTGAGATGTCAGGGGTGGGATTGCTGCCTGAGCAATGGGCTTCAGAACCCCTGTTAGCAACTGGATCCTGTTAGTACAGATGCTTTTAAGAAGCAGGATGATCCCTGCAGAAGCTGCCCAGCAGGCCGTCTGAGGGAAGGTTCATGGATTTATGGCTTTCCTGTGACTTGACAGCTCAGCATTACAGTGCTACAGCTCTGTTTCCTGGAGGTGATGTCTGCAGGGAGGACAGGATGGTTCTGGCAGGCTCACTCTGCAGGGTGTCCTGTGTTCCACAGGTGGCATCTCTGTGCTCACAGGTGGCAACCACAGATGGCTGGTGGGAGCAGGGACACTCCCATTGTGAGCAGAGAGGAGAGACAGAATGCAGGAAGGGCTGGTGGTGTGTTCCTGTGTCCCTGCAGCTTGGTGCACTCTCTGGGCAGACCGTGCTGGTTACCTGCAGCCAGGACAGGGATGGTTCCTTGGAAGCAGTGTGCATATCCAGCGTCCCATTCAGTCCGCACATTTTCAGCTGAACACAGTCACGCGCTGTTCGCCCTCTCCGCTCTGCCCCATCCCTGTCCCCTCGCAGCTGGAGGCGCAAGGTGCATGGGAACTGCTGTGCCATGGGGCATGGGCTGATGTGGCCCCCGTGTCACCCCTGCACTGACACCCTGGCAGGGTCGGCTGCTGCTCCCCAGATTTGTCGGGGTGCTAGGGATTGTCTTCTGGTCCTATTGATCTCATTCCAGTTATTTCCACATCTCTTACGTAGAGCAGCAGTCAGTCTGTCCTGCCTGTCCCTCTGGGTGGGTGACAGGAGTGTCTTGAGCCAGTGAGCCCCTGCTCACCACAATGTGTGCAGGAGCCCTGTGGGGTTCAGGGGAGTAGGGTGGCTGTCAGGGGTCCTGCAGTTGAGGAGTGCAGGTTCTCACCAGCAGCACCTCCTCCTGCCTGGCTCCATCCCCACATACCACTGGCCTGTGTCACTGACTTTGTGTTCCTGGCTGCCCCCTCTTTGCTCCAGCACGCCTGGTGCCAGCTGGAATTTCCTCTGCTCTGCTGGGACACTGTCATGCCCGACTCTGCAGGGAAGGGAGGGATAATCCAGCTGATAAATACCCCTGGCTTGCAGCTGGCTGCATCCAGCCCTGAAGCCAGACACTTCCCGTCAGCTCTTGAGCGCTGTGCAGGGATGACCCACAAAAGGCTATTGGGAATATCCGTGCAATTCCAATTTGTGAGAAAAAGGTTATCTGAGTGACCAGCCCAGGATGTACATGTTAATGATGAGAAGAGTCATTGTAACCCCAGCTCTCTGCCAGGCAGGGCTGGAGGGGTGCAGTGATCGGGAGGCACAGGGGGCAGTGATGGTGGCTTTGGGCAGCATGGTGGTGGTGGCTTTGGTCCCCTGCTGGATGGACCATCACGAGTCTGTGAAGCCTGTGTTTACCAGTGCCAGAGTGTTATTTTGAGAGCAGGCGCCTGGCTATGTCCTCTGAAACACCCTCTGACCCATCCCAGCCTATGATCTGTTGCCTCCCACCCTTCCCATTGCAGACAGTGCCTGCGGATGTGGCTCAAGCACTCAGTCCAGGACATGCCAGCACAAACCAGTGACAAGGGCTGGGCTCCAGTTCTTCACACTGACCTTAACAAGAGGTCGCCTTTGGAAACAGGGCTGTGACTGTCTCTCTCCTGATGGAGCCAAGTATTTTTATACCTCACTTCCTCTGAGCTTGTCTCTTTGCATTACTGCCAGGAAAAGACACAGCAGAAAGATCAGAGCAGCCAGAGAAGGGAGAGGGCAGGTCACTCCCAATTTGCAGCTTTACTTCAGGCCTCTCAACTCAATTATCCAGCAAATTGGGCTCCAAGGAAAACCAACACGAGCTACCATCAGGTATCAGAGCACAGCATGGATGAGCTCCGTTCTGCGGTCACACTTGAGAGCTCTCCAGCCTCGTGTTGCTGATGCTGTGGCTGTTTGCAGGGATTGCCAGCTGTTCTGGGGTTCTCCTTGTCCAGCTGTTTGCAGGGGTTCCCGGCTGTCCTGGGTGGTCTCCAGCCTTGCCCAGGTGTTTGTGGGGCTTCCCAGCCCTGGCTCAGGACCCACCTTGTCATCATGGCATGCGTGTTTCACCTCACTGGGACTCAGTGTCCATAGTCAAAATGGGAGCATGCAGGATGACACAGACTGTTGTGCCACTAGCTGGGTCAGGGACCCCCCATATACCACAACCTGGGGTTAAGGTGTTTGCAGGATTTGGGGTGTTTTCTGCAGCTGCCATTTGCTTTGTCCTGAAGCAGGTGAATCCCTATCCTCTTTCGTGTCAAACTCATTTTGCTACTTTACAACATCCTGGGGCTTTGTTTGCAAATCCAGGGATAGTCCAAGGGCTTCCAGAGGGAAATAATTGAAAAACAAGGAAGTAGGGTGAAGCTCTGGAAGCAGGAGCGCTGGGAGACCATCCAGGTCTGGCCTAGCTTTGGGGGGCAAAAACGAAGCAAACTGCCATTAAATATACAAAGCCCAGTGCACAGAATGTAAAAAGCACCAGAATCTGGTTGCATGTGGAATTTAGTGTCATGCCTGCTGCTCTTGTGCAGCAGTCTGAGACACTCCCACCCCCTGGCTCCCCGGTGGGTGCCAGCAGCAAGGGGCTGCAGTGGTGCCTGTTCCCTGCTGTCCCCACCGGGCTCGGTGTCTCCTGCCACAGCCACACGCTGTTACCAGTGTCACTAGTGCACTGTCACAGAAGGACTGGTGTGGCATTTCCAGCCCTGCTGATACCCTCCATAGAAAAACTCACCACTCACATGGGACCCCATGCTCAGCCCCTTCCCCCACTGCAAGCTCTGGCCACCGTGTCCCTGGGGATGGGTGCCATGGATGGAGCAGCTGTTTACCAGAGTAGCTTCTCTTTTACTGCAGTGGCCAGGAAGGGTTGGCCAGCAGCCCTCAGCACCCAGAGGTGCTCCCATGTTGTACAGAGGGATAAACTGAGGCACAGGCTGTATTCAAAGCCTGAGGCCATGCAGGGGTGGACCAGAAGATTCTCAGGGCTGGGCAGACTCTTTTCGCTGTGCCAAAATCATGGTGCTGTACAGGGTAGCCAAGGCCTTTCCTATCTGAGAGCAGAGAGATGGGAGAATGCTGGAGCACCCTGTTTCTCTGCCCTCACCACCCCAAAACAGAGGGCTTTGGTTTGGGTTTCTCAAAGCACAACATTTCGGGCTCCTCCTTTCCACATCTGGTCTTAAAATGACCCTAAATTATGAAAGAAGAGGGAAAAAACCACATTGAAGCAAAAAGGATTGTGAATTCCCCCTTTCCCCCTCCAAAAATAGCTCAACCTGGCTGAACAGAGCTGCTCTGGCAGGGCCAGGGGGAGTCAGGGGCTGGACACTGCCCCGGGCAGTGTGGGCAGGGCTGCCCACGGACCAACCCCCTGACCCTCTGTGCTGAGGATGTCTGTGTGTGCAGGTGTTTTCCTGATCCTATTCCCACAGGTGCCCTGGCAAGGCTGTGTGGCACCATAACCTGGAGCCTTTGGAGAAATCCTGGTTGTGGACTGTGTGGGGGAACTGGTCCCCAGAGTGTTGGCGCTTAATGACATGAGGGAGGGTGAGTGCTCCTCTGGCCTTGCAGGGCTGCAAGCAGGGTTGTCCACACAAGCAGGACTGCCAAGATATGTCTATTGGGAAGCTGTTTGCCTTTATGTGCTGGTAGTGTTACAAAGGAGTTGCAGTTGGATTTCAAGCCAGCATCAAGGATCTGCAGAATCCATCAACCTCAGTTCTGTTAATTGCAGAGGAAGCCCAGGACGTGCGCTCGCTGCCAGTGCAGTGCTCACATCTCCCTTCCACCTCTGCTGGACATGGGCTGAGCCCAATGCCTTGGATGTGCTTCCACAGCCCAGACTGTCCCCTCTGAGTGGTGAGACCATGTTTGACAGTGGACAAGTACAGACAAACCCCAGATGTGTCCCACAATGTGAAACATAGCCTGAGTGCTGCAAGGAGCAGTCTGTCAGCAGCTGATGGGATTCAGGGATGTGCTCAGTGCTGTGAGGCTGTTCCAATAGTGTTATCCCAGCACTTACTGGTCTGTCCCTTCCCTGCGCTCATGTCACCCTTATTACAGCTAATGGCATACAGGAATTCAGGCCATACACTCTGCTCAGGTTTGGCTCTCAGGGCATCCTGGTGGCGTCTTCAGTGCCGTTCCCATTACCAGGAAACACCCCCTTGTTTCTGCCACATTTTACATCATTAGCAGAGGACAAAAGGGAACTGCTTGAATAGGGAATAAGAAAGGCATTGGAAGGGGATAATGCCCAATAAGGAGACCTCAGATGTCCTCAGCCCCTCACTTGGGGATCCCTGCCAGGATGATGCAGCCCTTCCCAACATGCCATGCTGCCCATCCTGGCTGCTCTCCAGTCCAAATCCACCCCTGGGAGCAGAGAGCTCACTCTCTGCAGCTCATTTCTCTCTGCATTTTCAAGTTTCACCTCCTTTCCCTCTAGTTGGCGCAGGAAGATGAGTGAAGGTGCTTCTACTGTCCCTGCTGGATATATGTAGTTCAGTGTCCTCAGCTGGTGGGGGAACCTTTGGCTCATGGAGGATGTCCAAAGAGCCCATGACAGACCTTTCCTGCTGTGCCCACCCTGCACGATGATGGTAACAACACAGATCCTAATCCATGGATCTCCTCCCCGCAGGTCAGCCATTCAAGCTGGACCCCAAGATGGCTCACAAGAAGCTGAAGATCTCCAATGATGGGCTGCAGATGGAGAAGGATGAGAGCTCTTTGAAGAAGAGCCACACGCCAGAGAGATTCAGCGGGACAGGCTGTTATGGCGCGGCCGGGCCTGCCACTACTGGGAGGTGGTGGTGGGATCCTCCACCTGGTAGGCAGCACCTGTGGGAGGGGGGATGCTTTCCCAAACCAGCCTCTGCCAGCAGCTTTTTGGGCATGTGAAGCTGTTGCTGTGTCACTTCCACAGGCAGGTGGGCTCTGGAAGCATGGGGTGCTCCTTCCACAGGCAGGTGGGCTCTGGAAGCACAGGGTACTGCAGCCATCAGGGCTGTAACTGGAGTGTGCTGAGCAAAGCTTCTTCTCTCCTGCAGGTATGCCATTGGCGTGGCTTACAAGTCTGCACCCAAAAATGAGTGGATTGGGAAGAACTCCTCATCTTGGGTCTTTTCCCGCTGCAACAATAACTTTGTGGTGCGGCACAACAACAAGGAGATGCTGGTGGAAGTGCACCCCCAGATGAAGCGCCTCGGTGTCCTCCTGGACTATGACAACAATGCACTCTCATTCTACGACCCAGCCAACTCCCTCCACCTCCACACCTTTGAAGTCTCCTTCATCCTGCCGGTGTGTCCCACCTTCACTATCTGGAACAAATCCCTGATGATCCTTTCAGGACTGCCCGCCCCGGACTTCATTGATTACCCTGAGCAGCAGGAGTGTAACTGCCGGCCCCAGGAGTCCCCATATGTGTCAGGGATGAAAGCCTGTCACTAGGCTGCCCGAGCCTGCCCATGGTGGCACTAGCCATGCCGGTGGGTGCTGATGGTCAGAGCTGCCCACTGGGAGCCCTCTGGCAGCTGTGCTGAGGAGCCACCATGACGCTCCAGTGCGCAAGCACCATCCAAACCCAGCTCCATCTTATTTTAAGGGGAAGGAAGAAGAATCTTGAACCACGTTTGGAAATGAACTGTTGGTGAGCTCCGATGTGCAAGAGCAGCTGAGGCAGCTCGTTGTCAGTGGCTCCCATCCCTCCCCAAGCAGATTGTCACCTGATGGTTCTGTCTTCCCTCAGGGGCTGGAAAGGCCGCGGTGGGTTTTGGGGTGGCCCTCTGAGGTGCTGCAGTGGTCAGAGGACAGCTCATGCATCCTGCGAGGTGCAAGCTGGGACAGGAGGGATGGGCTTTCTGGAACCTGCTGGCAGCTGATTTGGGGAGCCAGGGGCACTGAGCAACACTTTCCAGGGAGGACTTCCCATGTGGCTGAGGCTTGGTAGCTTCCCTGGTAGGTTGGATAATGTATGGAGCCCTTGGGCTTGGTGAGCACTGGCGGTGGTTGTGCAGTGGATGGTGGTTACACTGTGGGTGGTGGTTACATGGTGGGTGAAGGTTATGCAGTAGGTGCTGGTTATGTGGTGGGTGGATGGTGGTGACGTGGTGGATGGTCTGCAAGAGCGAAGGTGGCACTGAGGATGGTCCCACTGCCCATCCACGCTGCTGCTGGCATGTTCCCGATGCATAGTTGGGTTTGCAGTCCCACAGCAGAGAGCCACAGGCCTCCACCCCACTGTGTCTCCTCCTCTGAGAGCTCCCAAGAAGGCAGGGAGGCCTTAATCCTTGAAGAGCTTTGGCCCCTGACACAGAGGTTTGGCAGCTGCTCCTTCCCGACATGGGGTCTAGTCAGCTGTTCCCTGTTCTGTGTAGGCCTCTGTTAGTGTCCTGTCTGGTGTCCCAGCAGAAAAGAATCATCTTCCTGCTCTGAGCCCACAGTCAAGTCCTGCCCAAAGACCATCTCTGTCCTTTATGATCCAAAATCTCAATTTCTGACCCCAAATCTTGGTTCCTGGTTTGTTCTCCACCATGCCAGGGCGTTGGACTGGGTGACCTTTAAAGGCCCCTTCCAGCCCAAACTATTCCATGATTCTTTGGTGGTGTTAACACAGAACTGTCCTGTTTACTCTGTGGCAAAAGACTGAATCCATCCCAGGAGCTCTAGCCCCAGGAACTCTTTGACTGCCACCAGTAATTTCAGTAACCACAAGCATCAAGTCTTCTGGCCAAGCTGCAGTTTCTGGATTTACTTAGAGGCCAGGAGGAGCTGGGCTGGCACACGGTCCCTGCGTGGCAGGGGTGGTCTGTGGCAGTTCGGGGTCAGTGGGTGTGCGCGTGGTCGGGACATTGGGGGTGCAAGGAGGTCAGGCAGTGTGTGGGCCCAAGGTGGCTGGTGCTTGAGCTTTGCTCTGTGGCATTTAAAACCTCTTTTCCTCCTCTGGATATGGTGCCTTGGTGGGATTGAGGACCACTGAGCCGAGGCCTCCCAGCTCTGCCAGCCTTTTCCTTCCTTTGGATCTTGCTGATAGGGAACTATCCCAAAGCCCAGGCTCTGAGGGTGGGTGGTTGGCTCGGATGGGGTGACAGTCCCTCGGGACTCATCCCACGAGGGCTGTGGGAGAGGCTAGTTGAACTCATCTGGAGCCAGTTGGCCCTGGCCAAAAGCAGGTGACCCCCACCAGTGACCTGGCCAAAGGGACATGTGTCATTGACTCTGGAGGTGACAGCTTTGCCCAGAGAGAGTGTGTACAAGAGTCTGTTCCCAGCACAGCATCCCTCTGTATCTCCAGGCTGTGGCTTTTGGGGAAGGGAGGCGGGCAGCACCTGGGGGATTGATCTGACCCCTGCCCTGCTGAGCCAAAGGGGGTTTCCCTCTGATCCAGGCTGCTTTCCCACAGTGCCTGGCAGGGCCAGTGCAGGGAATACATCCCTCCCTCCCGAGCAGAGCGAGCAGGTCTGTTTGCTTCTCCCAGCCCTGGGGTGCAGGAGCACAAGTGGGGGTGCATTGGGGGCACATCTGCTGTCCCCATAGCCCAACACATGACCCTGGTTCATTTTGGGAGGTTAAGTTGCCCTTTTCAGTTGGATGTTTTTCATGGGGCACTCATGGAAGTCCCTTCCCCATGTGCCAGTCCCATCTGGGGCTGCTCATACTGTGTCACCCTCAGATGGATGCCAAGCACTGGAGATGGATGTTGGCGTTGGTAGTCCAGGTGCTGAGCTTCCTGCTGGCACTGGCACCACTGGGTCGGGCTCATGGAGGACTCAGCACATCCTCAACTTGGAGCCCACAAGCCCTTAACGTGATGTTTGCACCTGATGAAATTGCACTAATTATGGGGACCCCCTGCCCCCTGGCACACATCTCATACCCAGCCAAGCAGGAGGGCGACACGGCGAGCTGGGGGAGCCCCATGCCCCGAGCAGGTAGCTCCAGGGGTGGAGGTCCTTCCTCAGTCACTCACATTGTCTTCTCCTGGTGCTGGAAGCAGAGCCCCCTGGAGTATTCCCAGGAGCTTGGGAGCAGCAGCCCCATCCCTGGGCCCTGCTCAGGATGTTATGGGGGGGCAGGATGTGGGGGAGAGGTTGGCAGGGCTGGGTGCTGCTGCCAGCTCCTCTGCTCCTGGTGATTCCATTGTACAGATTAGGGATGTGTGAACTCCTGGCTCCCCTCAGCCTCCCCTTCCACATGTAACATTCC